AGTTTCAGTCTTGTGTCACTAATAGTAATGTCAGAAAATGCTGTCCAATAGGAAGACCATGTACAATACAACAAACAGAAAGTATACCTCGACACAGAAACAAAGAAAACACCACTTCACTATGATGTAGCACCAGACAACATACTTGCTCAGTCATCAAGAAAATACCTTTAGCTTCGTCAGATGTCTCCTCCAGCCATTCTGCTGGACTGACTGTCTGTCTCGGTATTGTAAGAGGCGGGGCTGTATACTGACACAGGCTGCTCATGCATAAACGCTCTCACACAGCTAAGTATATTGTGTACATAACGACTTTCTGAGCTAGGTGGTCACCATATGTTGCAATATCGATAGTTAATGCAGTATAACATTTGTATTGTACAAGTCTTTGTATGACTGCACACATATTGCACCTGAGGCGATGTTTGGTTTTGAGGAAGTGTTGTCATATGTCGGGAATACAATGAAACTGAGTATTTACAAGTTCAATTTTTGTGAAATGGTTTAAATGCTTTACCAAATATCCTGAAACAAAGGAACGATAGTGGATGTTGAAGCGCATGTTGTAATTTGAGCCACTATCGTGTGAAGGTATGTATATTTCAATATTACAATTACTATAAGTTACAAACAGGGCCCATTCTCAGACATTAAGCTGATAAGCAGTTATATTGCTGAATTATTGTTCAAAGAGCAGTCAAAAAAAGTTGAAAAATACTTTCCATTATTATAGAAAAGTATTTGCTGAAGTTAGAGTCCATTATGAGAACCAATTAGTGTGTTGTGTATGGTGTTAAGTGGGTTGTGTATGGTGTTAAGTGGGTTGTACATGTGTATAGTGTTTAGTGTCTGGAGACGTTTAGGGTTAAATAATTAATAAACAGATTTATAGTGTATATGTATGTATATTAAGTGATTAACATTTTTGTCTCCTTGACAAAGGTGAAATGGGGTTTAACGTTGCGTCCAAGATTATTGCACTTATATAGCGACGTGCATGTACGTGTGTGTGTGTGTGTGTGTGTGTGTGTGTGTGTGTGTGTGTGTGTGTATGGCTGCTTGTAGTAGTCCGGACTGATGCCGATTTATAGTGCTAGCTCACTGAGACACCATGCCGCAGTTTAACATGAATACCTTACTCAGACACAGTACACTGATTCCGAGCCGACCAGTCCTTGTTTTAGCCCCTTAATACCGAGCGCCAGACAGGGTAACAACAAGTACCATCTTTTAACGTCTTTTGGTATGACGCGGTCGAGGATCGAAACCCGGACCTTCCGCTCTCGGGGCGGGCGCTCTACCAAGGAGGCGGTGTCCTTGACAAAAGGGCATTATACAACTTGAAATGTATGATATGATCATTTATATCTACACGTGTCTGCGACATCCAATTACTCAGTCATGTTATTTTCATACTTTGTTCAGCACTGGCAGAATTCATTCAATTGTGGATTGAATTGTACCGGGTCGTCCATGTGAATATTTACCCTTTTCTTTCAGGATTTCAGACGACCGATTGTTTGAATCAGTTGAAAATGTCCCAAATCCCTTCATATAAAAACCTGTCGTGAAGAAACTTAATGACGACATTATGATGTAGCTTCTTGTCTCTCGGTTCAAATATTGATTTGTATTGTTCACGTCAGGTATCATGAGATATTGCAATATTTTTTATGACGTAATGCATTCTGGTGACCGAAAAAGTGAGTGTCGCTCATATCTCCACATGCAGTTTCATAAAAAAAACTCCTGCAATCAATTGTAAGCTCAAAGAGGGTGCAATTATTGAAAGACATGGACGTGTTAATAATTTACAAAAATGAACCGTTGTAAACCACGGGTGACCACAAGCTGCCTTTACATACTAGTACAACCCGTGTGGACGTGTATCACTTTCTGCATAGAGTATTGTTTGGACGATGTGTTTGCATTGATTAATTTGAACTTGTGTTTTTAATTTTTTGCAATTTCATTTATTAATTTGTAAAGTTTGTTTTGGCCGCAGGTTTATATCACTGTTTAGTGTAGAATACATAACGTGTGGGGTGTAGTGTATACTGTATAGCGTGTATATCATGTGCTGGTGAGTTTTCTCTTTCCATCCGTTCCACAACATACAGTGAAGTCCCTTACCAATTACAATGTCTAAAAGTATTACGTAATCCTACAGTGTTTCAATGTCATCCTGCCAGGGGCAACAGTACGTCACACGCTGCCGGCGACCTGTGTCGACAAGTGGAGCAACTGTGACTCCTACCCTCACTCGTGTGCGCCAGTGTACAAAGACTGGGCGTCCGCCAACTGTGCCCGCTTCTGCAACTTGTGTTGAGCGTCTTGGAATCTGTACTGCGAGATTTCGTTGCTGTATTACACATATTAAATCACCATGTCAGATGACATCAACATACGTCGTAACAGCTGATTAACGGTATTACGGTATTACGATTGATGAACGTACATTACAGGCAGGACCAACATGACTTGCAGGGTGAGGGTGTTTTGTGTTGGGGCTAGGGTTGAGGGATATTGAGAGTCGGATGTGTGTGGGTATAGGTGTAGGTGGAAGAGGGGGGAGGGAAACACTTTGCTGCAGTTTGTACTGGATACCCGCACACATGTATATTGAAAATGAACCGGCCACTCCTTGTTTTATTCCCTAAACACCGAGCGCCAGGCAGGGAAACAACAAGTATTATCTTTTAACGTGTTTGGGTATGACGCGGCCTTGGGATCGAAGGCTCAAAAGTTAGCTGTACAGAGTTGCTGTACTTTGCTTCATGCCAGGAACCTATAATCGTGTTTGGGAATTCCAGCTTTGCCTTGATTATGATGCTTTTGCTGCCCGCACCATGCCCGTGCCTGTAGTTTCCCCACCTGATTAACTGAACCACCTTTCAAAGTTTACCATAACTCACTCGCTGATACACTTAAACACCGCTTAATTAACAGTATTTCAGTTACATCACGCCGGCAGAGTGTTTGTGGCCGGACTCGATGTAGTTAATAGACGTTTACAACTTTGGTGAAACTCACGTGCACAGGTATGGTGCTGACAACCCCAGAAACAATCAGGGCGAATCTGTGATCCGAACTAACGACATCGGGCATGGTCTAAGGGAAGCAACTCTGCACAGTCTATTACGCGCCTTACACAACTGAGCTCCCAGTGGGGAACTAAGCCAAACTGAATGGAATCAAATATTCTTTACATTAATTTTGACTCATGTGATTCATGCATAGAAAATGTAGGATGATCATATAGGAATCGAATAAGTCAATTCTTTCAAATAGTTCAATAAATTACAGATACACTGATAAACAATAAATAGACGACAAAAAACAAACATCAGGAAAACGAAGCACTGTTGTGGAGTATACACTGGACGCGTCCCTGCATGTCAGTCGCGATCAGTGTTTTACCTGCAGTGACTAGACTGGTTACCAGTATGTGCGCATCAGACAACGCATACCAGTTTAGCGAACCGCCTCTTAACACGTCACAATCGACACAGCCGACATGGCGTCAGGCAGACTGGAAGAATGAGAGGTTAAACCACTGACAATTAAAGGTAATGTGAGCATTGGCAACATGCAAGTTTGTTTGACGTCCCGCATATACTTGATCAGTTTGACGTCCCGTATATACTTGATGAGTGTGACGTGCCGTATATACTTGATCAGTGCGACGTCCCGTATATACTTGATCAGTGTGACGTCCCGTATGTACTTGATGAGTGTGACATGCCACAGGTGTATGGAAGGTGTGAAAATAGCTTCATACTTCCTGGTTGTACATGGTCGTATGGTCTCTGCGTGTGTTTGATTATAAGATTGAGATATAAGACAATGTCAGCAATATAGATCCAGATCCATTGTCAAAACTTGTTTTTATTAAAGTAACAGATGTCAGTGTTATTTATGCTGCACGAGTCCATCTGTTCCTAGAATAGAAGGGCGGATCAAGCATTTCTGGGGAGGGGTCCAACATATCCAAATCCTCGTTCAGATAAGTTTACTGCGTACACAATTTGTCTTTAAAGAGGAGGGGGACCTTGGGCACCCCCCACCCCTCCCTGGGTCAGCCAACAGAATCAAAGATTCTACTTTCGTTATGCAAATGTGCTGGAATGAGTCATGTCCATATATAAGCATTTTACAGACGTTTCAACATGATTGAGCTGGCGGTGGTTCATGCATGGGATGTTACAAAATACTGAAACTTGTCGTAAACTTGCGATGTCCTGAAACCAACCAACCAACCAACCAACCAATCAGTCAACAAATCAATCAGTATGTTTTCATGATACGGGTGAGGCCAAAGGCCGGGTTGTTACAAGTTCTCAGAGCATAACAAATGAACAAATATATTCTTATGGATTCTGTGCAATATTTTGCAAAATTTGTTTACATGTCCATTGTGGTAAAACTAGTGATTTAGATACTATTTTCTGAACTAATTATACATTTTGACATCATTTGTTGCAACTTGTACAAAATCTAAGTTCTCTTAAAATATTTCCACAATGCCACTTTCAATAAAAAAAATCACGTGAGCTATAACGGAGTCCAGAAAGAGCTATGCAAACTTTTGTCAAATTACAATTTAGAAGATAATGTTCTACTATTATAGTAGTCTTGAATGTAGTCCTGCACCATTACTGTGGAATATGTATTTTATAAAAGCAAAACCTATCTAGTTTTATATAAAAACAAGTCTAGCCAGTCCTAGCCAGCTGTAAGAAGCCCTAGGAAATCAGCATCAGGAAAATTAATTGTTCTTATTTAAGAAGAGAGAAATGTTATGTGTAATAAAATATTTCAAAGACGATATATAAGTCTGTCTCAGTGTTAGTGTAGTAATTAGCTTTGCTGGAGCTGGACAAGTCATTACTTGAAATTATGATGATAAATCTTTCACTTCACCTCAACTGAAAATATGTAATTCACAAAAGGGTCAAAATCTAAAATTGTTTGTTCATAAATATGTTTTACTATTACAGATGGCGATGCACAAGACATTGACAGACAATTTTCTGACTTACAGCATCTGCATGGACGTCTTTGATGACCCCTGTACACTTGTGTGTTATCACACATTTTGTCGGAAATGTGTCGTTAGCTACACTGAAACCAGACCAGAAGCCATCAGTGCCAAGTCTCTCCTCTGTCCATTCTGTCGTAAGATGACCAAAGTAGCCGACTCAAACAGGCCAGTTGAAGAGTGGGCACAGGAGGTGAAACCCAGCTTTTTGATTCGGGGTCTCATGGATTCCTTCGCTCCCTGCAGTCAAGGTATAAGTGTACACCAGACCATGGTGGTTGGACTTCCACTCAATACATATAACATTACTTGAATATCTCTGTCATTTCTTTCAGTGGCACACTATTGGACCTGCAGTCAATCCTGTAACATATTTGCTCGTTTGCTCGTTTGAGACAAATTATTGATTCTGAAGTAAGGTAATTGACCTTGTCTGGTCACAATGCCACGTAATGTTAACGCCTTTATTATTGCATACAAACACAAAAATACATTTCTCAATTTATTGTTGTATTAACCTAATTTTGTAATTTTCAAGTTTAATAGAATTATATTTTTAGTGATATTCTAACATGTCATCGCAAGAATGACTTGTAAGCTTTTAAAGACGAGTGCTGCTTGTAGGTTTTTTTATTACCAGTTGACAGGTACATTTTTTTAACAGGTACTGTATTTTCTATGTTGGAATTCCAAAATGAACCAACCTAAACGTGAAATGCGTTCTTGATTATTCCAGTTATAGCATCGCGTGTCAGTTTGATGTGTGTGGAAAACTCGATCCGATGTCAAATGTCACTTTGGTGAAACGCACGAGCACACGAATGGTACCGACATACCATGGAACATAATGAGGGCGACTCTGGGATTTGAGGGATGCAGACATGCAGATTTAGAAGACTGCGCCCCTGCTGCCCCTTAAATGGGTACTGATAAAGGAAAGGATAATTGTGTTTATAAAGATGACGCAAATAGGTGCTCTTATATTCATATTTTCTATCCATGTGAAGCACTTTATAAGTGCATCCTAATAGAACCTATATTTCTCTGTACACCACCTTAAAAATTATCTATGTCACCATAATACAACTGCAACTTATGTGTTGAGGACGGGGAGACAACTCCAGCCAATGCTTGGTGCGTCGAATGTAATGTCTCACTCTGTGATGGATGCCTGAAGGCACATAGACGTATCCCTGCCACCCGTCACCATGACGTATGTGATTTGTCAAGGGATGTCAAGGTGAAGAAAAGACGCAAACCTATGTGTAAAGAACATCCAGATCAGAGGATGCAGTTCTACTGCAAGGACTGTAAGAAACTACAATGTCAATCGTGTTGCATCTTGTATCACAGAAAATGTGAGTCCATTGTCTCGCTTGAGTCTGTGTTGCCTGAAATGCAAAACACTCTTCAATCTGTAAAACAGAAACTAGAGTCTGATTTAGCAACATCAAACACTCGCCTTGCAAAGAAGGGAGCACAATGTACTGAAATTAATAAGAACAAGTCAAGCCTTCAGTCTCAGGTCCGATCAGCAACCCACATCGCCATTGACTTGATAAAGAAGAAGGAAAGACAACTCCTGGAACAAATAGATGACGTCACAGAGAAACAAATAGGACAGCTGATAGGGGACATGAAGCGTGAGGAGATGGCTAGGCAGATGATTCGTCAACACTCGGAGTTCCTGGGCAGAGCTCTGAAGTCTGAGAGTGACGTGGACATCTGTGAGATGTATCTGTGGAGTGAGTCGGAGGAGGCAGCCACTGTGTGTGTCCCGGAGTCAGGTATGGATGATGTATCTGGGGGCAAGGCTTGTTTCATACACGATCGTCATCTGATGTGTGGGAAACTAAACGATCTACACTTGGGTGTGATTGATATCATTGTTGATGTTTTTGATTCTCCATCAACAGCAGTTCTGTATGACACAGTGGACATACAGGCAGAAGATGATGAGAAGAAACCCAATGCTCTTGACGTGGCAGTGTTTGTTGTCGACAACACAGACACCACAGTTGTCACAGATCATGGCAACAAGTGTGTGAAATCCTTCTACAAAAGAAACAAGATGTCATGTCAGAGTAAGCTGGGGGTACAAAGCGCTCCTCGATGTATTGCAAAATTAAACAACAATAAAATGGCTGTGACTCTCCCTGACACTAAGAAAATAATAATAGTAGAAGTGAAGCCTGAGCTGGTTCTTCAATCATCCATCTCTACAAGGCAGACGTATGAGGGTCTGACATCCCTGACACCGACAACCCTGGCAGCAGGATCCGTGTTTCGTCCCTGTGTGGACATCCTGGACATGGCGGGGAATGTGTTGAGGACCCTGGATCCTGTCACAGATGGAGAGAGACTTGTATTAGCTCCTTGCTTCCTCAGTACCACCAGGCAGGGTAACATCCTCGTGTCTTGCCTTGGATACGCTCACAGGGTCCTCTGTCTGACTCCTCATGGAGATGTTGTGTTCAGGTATCATCCTACACAGCAGAGTCCTTCCGCTCGTGGAATCACTAAAACCAACACAGGACATATCCTGGTTATAGATCTCCTTGCAAATTGTGTGATTCAACTCAGCGCTTCTGGGACGTATGTGAGGAAAGTGTTGACGTCACGTGATGGTATTACATCTCCGTATGGTGTCTGCCTGTCTGAAAGTCAGCACCTGTATGTCACCACTGGTCACTGTGTGAAGATCTACAGATTTACAAGAAACACCTAAGATGTGGACGCATAACGATTGTTCCTGATAGAATCCGTCACCATCTGAGTGACCATAGTTTATGTAAATATGAATTTCCAATACAAGAGAACAATCAGTCTAGACTGTCCGCCGAAACAGATTAAAATTTGACGTAAAGTGCAAATTAGTTATGAAATTTATATGGATGGACAACTGATATTGGGTGATGACACCAGGTGTTCGCGAAAAGGGTAAGCATGTCCGGCCCTATCGGTAGAACTCGCCAATCACACAATTTTCATGACAAAGGAAGTATTTGTCCCTGACGCGGCACAGCTGTACTCGTATCGTGAGACGGCGGCCTGTAAACAAACCAGACAATCAAGTGATCGTTGAACCAGAATATCCAGTGACGCGTTAGTGCATTAACTGATTGTGTTGAAACTAATCAAACCGATACGTTAATTTTACCCTTCGAATTAAGTGCACCGATTCTGCTTCTTAAAAGAAAGAAGAACGTTTAAGAACTATTATGCGGGGCAGTGGTTGGGGGCTGCGCAGTTACCACACCAGGTGTTCGCGTTTTCTATAAATACTGCGATCTGTGACATTATTAATTGGTGTATAAGTAGATATAACACTGATCTATAGATTTAATCACATTTGATGATTCATCTGTGTGATTAAAGTTGATTAGATCAGCGACGCTAACACATAGCTCCACTTTCTAGTTTTTAAGTGATTTACTCCGAATTACTTAATTATGCTGCCCGTTTTGGATTGGTGATTGATCAGTAGTGTCATGTGTGTATGTTGCATCAATAATATGTAGATATGATCGCCGATAATGAAGTAATTAGCCAATAACACTTTGGCCCGTCTTGGCCCGGCCCGGTCCGACTTTTAGGCAATACCGTGGTTGGGGGGTGCGCAGTTTTAATGTTCCCACACCAGGTTTTCGCGATGTTTGTGTCTGACATTGATGTGAAGCTGTGAGACAACAATGTGGTGAATGTGAACAATGAATGCACAGAACTGGAATTGTCACTCGTCAAACAAATATTCCGTTACTGAATGTGCATGTATTACGTGTAGATTTAAGTTAGCGGGGAGTGGAGGGAAGGGCGGATTTCGGGCAAGAGCAAAGGTCACCAACAACGCGTGCCAGTTGTTGGAGGCGACCTAATGGATCAGGTGACCTGGTTGATTGCACGTCATCGTATCCCAAATACATGGATCGATGCTCATGATGTCAATCACTGGACTATCTGACCAGACTCGATTAATTACAGACCACCGTCATATAGCTGGAATATTGCCGAGTGCTGCGACGAACAACAAATAAACAATTGGCGCGCATTTTTTGTGGCATGTAAACGACTGCTGGAAAGTAAAGCCTTGTTGCCTCGTGAAGTATATAATTATATATTTGTAAATACAATAAAACTCTGATAATTAAACCATTAACCACTTCCTGTCAGTTTATTTGTAAACACTTACATGCATATCCGTGTGTTAACATTTCTGTCATAATAAAAGTGCAGTCACTACCTTTGTACAGATTGTCTCTCTTGTTTAAATCAATACATAACACACACTACACTACTATGGAACTCGTTCTACGACGGGAATTTATGTTAAAAGATGTGAAAAGGGATCGTTTCAGCGCTTGGTTCTTTTCGTTGAACACGACGCATGTCTTTGTAACAAACATCAGTTAACGCTGTGTGATGTGAAGGGAGAAATGGTGGTTAAAGTCTCATGTGCCCCCGTTTCTTACATATATTGATACTGTTTTGTTCATTCATCCAAGGACAAGTTTAGAAAACATGAGCGATCACAACACTGCCGACAAGCTTGTTAATTTACATATACTTATAATCCCGTGAAACAGTCGTGAATGCCAAGGTTATCTATCATAAGTATGGAAAATAGTTTACAGAAAAACATCCGTTTCATCGACAGTATTGGTACCTCGCCAAGGCTCTGGACTCACTATATACCACTGGGAACAGATAACACGTACTTTCTCGTTGCCCAAAGGTTATTTCTGTAAATAATAAGTTTGCTTCAATCGGTAAAACGGTATATGATCGGTTACGGATGTTTCGTGAATTGTAAACAGGATCCTACACAGCATATATGCTTCTGTTCTCGAAATAATATTCTGCCCAGATCATACACATATAAATGGCAAATGTTTCCGTTTATTTGACGTAGAATATGCTTGTGATTAAGGGTGCTAAACCTACAGATGCAAGTGTCACATCCGCGTAGAAGCAGGTTGTAGTTTCTCTAATGGCAGGTATGTTTCAATTAAAAAGTCACCATTTACATATGACAGTGTCCCTTCTTCAATTGCACATTTGATTTTCCAGGGGTGTTTGTGTTTATTGCTTTTTCTCAAATTCTGTTGAGACACTCGATGTAAGGTGTTATTTGTGTTGATGTGAACCCAGTTTTTACCCGTGTTTCGTTGTCGGGAACAACAGTGACGTCATCAGCTGTTTAATGTTTGGCAGAGTAAGAAGTAGTCACGCATACAACAGTCAACATTATGTTACTATGATTTTAGGCCACGGGGGACACCAGAAATGGGCTTCATACATTGAATCCATGCGGGGACTAGGATCTAGGACCTTTGAACGCTCTAACTACTAGTCTACCCCTCCTTCACCCATCTACTACCCATCCGTGTACCCACCCATCACAGCCCCCCACATCCCCCACCAATATAACATTCTCGTCCCATAATGCCGGCTTTATAGTTCTAGCCCACTGAGATACCACGCCGCAGTATAACGTGGCTGCACACTGTCAGCCTTGTTTTATCACCTCAAAATAGTAATCGAATCACGCCAAAGCCAAAATATACAACACTTTTAATACAATAGTTGTTATGCACATGTCAATACAAAGGGGGACACAGCTTAACAAAATGATTTTATTTTACCTTCCAAAAGTAAATGTTTCGTAAACATGTTGTTTCATTACAATGCGCTTGCGTCCTCTGTGCATCTATCATCATCTGTCACCTCATCATCAGGATCGAACACAGTCACAGCCCTCGGACCACGGAAGTAGCAGTAAACACGCCTACACTATTCAAAATGACCGAGATCACTCTCATGTCCTCTTGGTTTGGTGCGTGTTATGAACCTGTAGACCATCACACAGTGGCGGTTGGTGACATACAGACGCCTTCGCTTATCAAAGTACAGGCCATAAGGGAACGTGATGCCATCCCTTGACGTCAGTACGTCTCTCAACCAAGTGCCTGAACTACTCAAATGAACCACTTTGTTTGACATGTCGTCAACAACAAGCATGTCGCCTGTGTTTGTTCCAGTGATGCCGCATGGATTCATTGGTCGGTGTTGTCCTGTGGGTACATAATTAAACACAACATCTCCGTTTGGTGTCATACATAGCAAATGACTTCTTGGGGCATGACTGCAAGACACCAGGATGTAACCTTGACTGGTGGTAGATAGGAATAAAGGATCTGATACAAGGGTTCCCCCATCTGTGACACGATTCAGCGTCCTCAATACATTCCCCGCCATGTCCAGGATGTCCACACAGGGAGGCGACCCGGATCCTGCTGCCAGGGTAGTCGGAGTCAGGGCCGTCAGACCAAAGTACTTCTTCCTCGTTGAAATGTATGATTGAAGAACAAGGTCAGGGTTCACTTCAATCACTATTATCTCCCTTGTCTCGGGAAGGGTCACGGCCATGTGATGGGCATTAAGTTTTGCAATCCGCCGAGGGGGGCTCTGAACAGAGAGCTTACTCTGAAATGGTTGAGTATTGCGTGTGTAGAAGGATTTGACGCACTTGTTGTTATTATCAGTTACAACTATGGTGTCTGTACCACCTTCATTGAACACTGCCACATCATAAACATGAGGTAAACTTGTCTCATCTTCTGTTTGTATGTCCACTGTGTCGTGCAGAACTAATGTCGATGTAGAATCAAACATATCTTCATATATGGTCTTAATTTCACCCAAGCTTACCTCGTGTATATTGTTACAGATCTCTTCACAATCATGCATAAAACATACTTTCTCTCTCAGTTCATATTTTATATCTGAATTTGGGTCGTATACTGCAGGAAACTCCTCTGACTCACACCACAGGTACATCTCATAGATGTCAATTTCACTTCCAGACTCCAGAGCTCTGTCTATCATCACCGAGTGATGACTTATCATCTGCTTGGCCATCTCCTCAGACTTCATTTCAGTTTTCAGTCGCTCGATCTGTTTCTCAGTGGCGTCATCCAGTTGGTCCAGGAGTTGTCGTTCCTTCTTCTTTATGGCTTCTGTAACTGTCTGGATTGTGGATCGGATCTGACACTGAACGGTGACTCTGTTCTTTATTACCTCAGTCCGTTTGGTTTCTAAATCTGTTAGCAAACTGTCTGTTGCTTGTAAATGAGACGCTAGTCTTTCCTTAACTCCTGTAACACAGCTGATCAGTTCTGGCATAACGGATTCAAACGGTAGAATTGCCTCACACTTTCTTTGATACAGGATGCAACAGGATTGACATTGCAGTTTCTTACAATCTTGGCAGTAGAACTGCATGCTTTGATCTGGATGTTGCTTACAGAATGGTTTGCGTCTTTGGTTGATTTTGACCTCTGTGGACAGGCCAGATACGTCATGGTGACGATGGGCAGGAATACGTCTGTGAGCCTTCTGGCATCCCTCACAAAGACTGATGTCACAGTCAGCACACCAAGCAGTGGCTGGAGGTGCCGCTCCTTCATCACTACATAGGATGCACTTCGGGGTATCTGCAAGTATACATACAAATGTGTCAGTTATTTTTCAACAATAGAACTATAATATTACGAAATAACCTTTAACCTTTCAATGTACATACGAGGAATTCACAAACCAGGGATATGAAGAACGTAGCTATGTTAGGATGAGTTCAGCACTGGTAACCTATTCGGAAATACCTTTTGTCTTGGGATTAAATGAATCCAAGAGACCCTGAATCAAAAAGCTGGGTTTCACCTCCTGTGCCCACTCTTCAACTGGCCTGTTTGAGTTGACTACTTTGGTCATCTTTCGACAGAATGGACAGAGGAGAGACTTGGCACTGATGGCTTCTGGTCTGGTTTTAGTGTAGCTAACGACACATTTCCGACAAAATGTGTGATAACACACAAGTGTACAGGGGTCATCAAAGACGTCCATGCAGATGCTGCACGTCAATAAGTTGTCTGTCATTTGTCGGTGCACTGCCATCTAAAATGTTAAAATAAAAATATTGGCATTCTCAACTTAACATCATACACCTTTTCATCCAGAAGAACCCATTTTTGTTTTTGATTGATATACGGGCAGTTTTATCAATAATGAACTCACAGAGAGTAGACATGGATACAAGATCGTTACAAGACTTGAGGTAGTTTGTTGTGTGCTCATGTACCTCCAGCACATGTCCATGTTCCAATGCCTAATTATGACTACAATCCTTAACCACATATAAAAGCAGTCAATACGTGATTGGTCAGTTCATGAGTTACAGTTTTGTGGATCAAAATACTAATGCTTGAAAATAGCTCAGTGTCATTTCACAGTTCCCAAATAATCACTCCACGCTACAAAGGCAAAGTTATGTTTTGGAAAGCGTTATTGCGTGAATCCCTTAAGGTGCATGTGTGTGTGTCTGTGTGTTTATTGGATGCATGTGTAAAATGTGCGTGTGTGTGTGTGTGTGTGTGTGAGAGAGAGAGAGAGAGAGAGCAAAAAAAAGAGAGGGAGAGAATGGATGTGAATGTGTGTTTATGTGTGTATGTGTGTGGCTGCTTGGACTTAATTAATGTCGGTTTCATATAGCTAGCCAACTGAGACACCATGCCGCAGTTTAACGTGAATAGGGAGTGAGTGAGTTGGGATTAACGCCAGTTTTAACAGTATTCCAGTTATATCACGCGTCAGTTAATTTGGGAGGAAAGCCCAAAGTGATGCAGATCTCAGACCTTTACCTCTTCTGTGAAACCCACGAGCACGGGTACGGTGCTGACAAACCTAGAAACATAATTGGGGCGAACCGGGATTCGAATCCCCAATCAAAGGTTTCTGGCGTGCCTAGGGGTTGCAACTCTGCACAGGGAACTGCATCCCCTTAGACGACTGGGGCACCCGCGCCCCCCGTGACCGTACATGTGGCCCGGTATTGATATTCAAAGGTGGCCTTAATAATTCCAACGTGATGCGGATAAAAATTCAAAAGTACTTTACAGGATATATTTTGGATGAAATATGCTGATTTATTATATCGTTCTACCAAACATATCCCGACCGTCGCTAACACATACATTCTTTGTCTTAACTTCTCTATCCATGGGGCTTTTGTTGCAAAACGTGGTGACAAAAGGTAAAGTCACACGTCCATCTTCAGAGGTTCAAGACATTTTGTCAAAAAATGAAGGCAAATGCCATCTGAAGTCTCCTGAGAAACAATGTGTGAGATGCTGGACTTCCTTGTTGATAACATCTATGTAAACCTTTTGTAAGACATTTAGGTAAGAAGAAGGCATCCCCACGTGTGCCAATTGTGCTCCTCTTCTTACTGATCTCTTCCTTTATGCAAATAAATAGTACACTCTTCTTTCATTAGGAAAGTCAACACAATGTTATTTGGCCAGGAAGTTCAATTAATGCCTCAGGTATATCGATGATCTGATATCCTTCAATAACCATCAAGTAGCCAATTCCCTTCCACTGATTTACCCACCTGAACCATAATTAAACCGCCTCATCTGTTTCATGTTTAGATCTATGCATAAAGATTCAGAGCGCAAAACATTCTCCTCAAGACTGTATTGCAATATTCCTGCAGCTCCAGGTTTTGGTGTTTACATCTCACAGCTTTTGAGGAACAATCGAGCATGTTCTTTGTACCAAGAGCGTCATACGACTCTTGCTCACAAGTTGTTTGATCAAGGTTACCACATTCATGGCCTCATGAAGCGTTCAAAACGTTCTATGGTAGATATATGAACGACATTTTCAAATTTGACGCATCGGTGACGATAATGATGTCCAATGCAATTCCTTGTTTTGACTTGTAACATGTTCCCGTGTTTGTTATGTGAACAGTTGACTTGCCTTTGCATGTGTTTTTGACGGTTGGGGCAGGATTCGCCAGACTTTTCGCTAAGACCTTCCACCATCAGAATATAACACATGCTCATGATGTAGTCATTTCAGCCGAGATTTACTGTGAATATGGCAAGGTTGTGTCGCTTTTCCTTGCAGAGGGCGATCAGAACAAAAAACACTCATTGTCTCATATTAGCCATTTTGCTAATTCAATAATTGAAATGTGAAAAGTCCAATCTTGACGATTTAAGCAACGACAGCACCGACGACGACCACAACACCGCCTACTCCCGTCTGTGAGGACAAACTATCAACATGTAGCATCTATAAGTCTGTCTGCAAGTCGGACACACAACAGAGGTGGGGGTTGCTGTACTGCGCCAAGACTTGCCGCATGTGTCAGCTCACTACGATACACTGATACTACCTGTACACATGTACATGTGTATTCATGTGTGGATAATCATGTCAGTCTGGTCTGATTTCAGTATAAGTAAAATACAAATGTCCTAAGATGAGCTGTATAATTTACTCAACCGGTTTCATGAATGTGGTTTTCAGGAGTCAATGCTTAAAGTCTGGAGTCAATGAAGATAGTTCCTAGATTATGTAATAAGCCACATCTCAGGAATATTAGAATGAGTCTAAGACTGACATTACGTGTCAAGGTGGCTCGCACCTACAACTGATGTTGTAAAGCTAACGTCTTATGTATGTGATAATTGTCTCTCCACATGAACTCCCTACCATTCTTTCACTGGCTTTCCTTCTATCTTTTTGTCTGTCTGTCTCTGTCTCTCTCTGTCTCTCTCTCTCTCTCTCTCTCTCTCTCTCTCTCTCTCTCTCTCTCTTGCTCTCTCTCTCTCGCCCCATATCCCACTCTCTCTACCTCTCCCCCCGATACCCCAATCTCTCTACTCAGGATCATTCTAAATGTCTACATGATTCCAACTCCAGACGAGACGACAGTGGCGGTAACACGACCAACAAGGGCATTTACTGGTAGGCATCCATTAAAGTCCAGTTCTGCTACTCCTTACATCAAATACTGACATATTATAAACTGACATTTTGTTCTCACACGAGGGATACGGGACGTCGGTGTGTAGTGTGTAGTGTGTAGAAGATACAGTGCATTGTTTAATGTGTGTGGTGTGTGGTGTATGTTGTTTTGGGTGTAGTGTGTAGATATTGTGCTAAGTTGCAAAATGTGTGTGGTGTGTGATGTGTAGTGTGTAATGTGTATAGTTTGGGGTGTAGTGTGTTTATCTCCGAGCCGACCAGTCCTTGTTTTAGCCCCTGAACGCCGAGTGCCAGGCAGAGTAACAACAAGTACCATCATTTAACGTCTTTTGGTATGACGCTCCCGGGGATCGAAACCCGAACATTCCACTCTCCTGGCTGACGCTCTACCACTAGACCACAGAGGCGATCCGTTAATACTGTGGACGTGCATCACCTTCTGCATAGAGCATTATTAGGACGATATGTTTGCATTGATTTAGTTTCAACTTGCGTTTTCAATTTTTTTAAATTTCATTTGTTGAGATTCTTTTGGCCGATTGTTTATATAGTGTTTAGTGTAGAATACTTAACGTGTGGCGTGCAGTGCATATTGTATAGCGTGTAGGACATAATATCCCAGTAAATAATGGGCCGAGGAGTTTTCTCTTTCCAGTCCGTTCCACAACATGAAGTTTCTTACCAATTACAATGTCAAAAAGTATTTCGTAATCCTACAGTGTTTTAATGTCATCCTGCCAGGGGCTACAGTACGTCACACGCTGCCGGCGACCTGTGTCGACAAGTGGAGCAACTGTGACTCCTACCCTCACTCGTGTGCGCCAGTGTACAAAGACTGGGCGTCCGCCAACTGTGCCCGCTTCTGCAACTTGTGTTGAGCGTCTTGGAATCTGTACCGAGAAGATGAGGGACGCATGGAGTCTGCACTGCGAGATTTTGTTGCTGTATTACACATATTAAATGACAATGTCAGATGACATCAACATACGTCGAATATATTGCCTCAAAGGCTATTATCAGAGAGTGGGCCTTTCTCTTTATTAATCTAAACCCTGGATACTGTCTCAGTTAGAGTATCTGGTAAAACAAAACAACAGCCTTTATGAGTCTAGGGTAATTAGTTTCACCATATTTACATTGACCGCAGACACAGAGAAGATAAAGTTAAAAGAATGTTTACTCAATTAGACTTGTAACAGCTGATCTCCTTTGGTATTACGATTGATGAACGTACGTGTGTGTGTGTGTGTGTGTGTGGGTGGGGGTGGGTGTGTGTGTTTGTGTGTGTGTGGGGGGTGGGGTGGGGGGGGGGGGGGTGTTGGGTGGGGTGTGTGTCGAAGGCTCAAAAGTTAGCTGTGCAGAGTTGCTGTACTTTGCTTCATGCCAGGATCCTATAATCGTGGTCGAGAATTCCACCTTTGCCTTGATTATAATGTTTTTGCTGCCCGCACCATGCCCGTGCCTGTAGTTTCCCCACCTGTTTAACGGAACCACCTTTCAAAGTTTACCAAAACTCACTCGCTGATACACTTTAACACCGCTTAATTAACAATATTTCAGTTACATCACGTCGACAGAGTGTTTGTGGCCGGACTCGATGTAATAAATAGACGTTTGCAACTTTGGTGAAACCCACGTGCACAGGTATGGTGCTGACAACCCTAGAAACAATCAGGGCGAAACTGTGATACGAACTGACGACATCAGGCATGGTCTAAGGGAAGCAACTCTGCACAGTCTATTACGCGCCTTACACAACTGAGCTCCCAGTGGGGAATTGAGCCAAACTGAATGGAATCAAATATTCTTTACATTACTTTTGACTCATGTGATTCATGCACAGAAAATGTAGGATGATCATATAGGAATCAAATAAGCCAATTCTTTCAAAAAGTTCAATAAATTACAGATACACTGATAAACAATAAATAGACGACAAACATCAAGAAAACGAAGTACTGTTGTGGAGTATACACTGGACACGTCCCTCCATGTCAGTCGCGATCAATGTTTTACCTGCAGCGACTAGACTGGTTACCAGTATGTGCGCATCAGACAACGCATACCAATTTAGCAAACCGCCTCTTAACACGTCACAATCGACACAGCCGACATGGCGTCAGGTAGACAGGAAGAATGAGAGGTTAAAACTACTGACAATTAAAGGTAATGTGAGCATTGGCAACATGCAAGTTTGTTTGACGTCCCGCATATACTTGATCATTGTGACATGCCACAGGTATATGGAAGGGGTGAAAATAGCTTCATACGTCCTGGTTGTACATGGTCGTATGGTCCCTGCGTGCTGTTTATAAGATTGAGTTATAGTTTATTTTGAACAACAGCAAAATGTCAGCAATATCCATCCAGATCCATCGTCAAAACTTGTTTTTATTAAAGTAACAGATGTCAGTGTTATTTACACTACAGGAGTCCATCTATTCCTAGAATAGAAGGGCGGATCAAGCATTCTGGGGAGGGGTCTAACATATCCAAATCCTCGTTCAGATAAGTTTACTGCCTACACAATTTGTTTTTAAAAGAAAGAGGAGGGGGACCTTGGACATACCCCACGCCCCTCTCTGGGTCAGCCAACAGAATCAAAGATTCTACTTTCGTTATGCAAATGTACTGGAATGAGTCATGTTCATGTATAAGCATTTTACGGACGTTTCAACATGATTAAGCTGGCGGTGGTTCATGCATGGGGTGTTACACAATACTGAAACTTGTCGTAAGCTTGCGATGTCCTTAAACCAACCAACCGACCAACCAATCAGTCAACAAATCAATCACAGTATGTTTTCATGATCCCCCCCCCCCCCCCCCCCCCCCCCCCCCCCCTCCCCGGGTCAGCCAACATTCTACTTTCGTTATGGTCTACTATTAAAGTAGTCTTGAATATGATCCTGCACCATGACTGTGGAATATATGCATTTTATAAAAACAAAACCTGTCTAGTTTCATAGAAAAACAGTTGTAGCCAGCTCTAACAATCCCTATGAAATCAGCATCACGAAAATTAATTGTTTTTATTTAAGAAGAGAGAACTGTTATGTGTAATAAAATATTTCAAAGACGATGTATTAGTCTGTCTCAGTGTAAGTGTAGTAATTAGCTTTGTTGGAGCTGGACAAGTCATTACTTAAAATTATGATGATAAATCTTTCTCTTCACCTCAACTGAAAATATGTAAATTCACAAAAAGGTCAAAATCTAAAATTGTTTGTTCATAAATATGTTTTACTATTACAGATGGCGATGCACAAGACATTGACAGACAATTTCCTGACTTGCAGCATCTGCAAGGACGTCTTTGATGACCCCTGTACACTTGTGTGTTATCACACATTTTGTCGGAAATGTGTCGTCAGCTACACTGAAACCAGACCAGAAGCCATCAGTGCCAAGTCTCTCCTCTGTCCATTCTGTCGTAAGATGACCAAAGTAGCCAACTCAAACAGGCCAGTTGAAGAATGGGCACAGGAGGTGAAACCCAGCTTCTTGATTCAGGGTCTCATGGATTCCTTCGCTCCCTGCAGTCAAGGTATAAGTATACACCAGAGACCATGGTGGTTGGACTTCCACTCAATCCATATAGTTTTAATTCATCTTCAACACAGGCAACAGTATTTACCCATCTATGACAGACTCGTTCTTGTCCTTGAATATCTCTGTCATTTCTTTCAGTGGCACACTATTAGGCCTGCAGTCAATCCTGTAACATATTTGCTCGTTTGCTTCTGAGACAAAGTTTTGATTCTCATGATTTTGAAGTCATGTTATTGACCTTGTCTGGTAACAATGCCACATAATGTTAACGCCTTTCTTATTGCATACGAACACAAAAATACTTTTTCAATTTATTGTTGTATCGACTTTTTATTACGAGTTGATAGGTACGTTTTATTAACAGGTACTGTATTTTCTATGTTGGAAAACCAAAATGAACCAACCTAAACGTGAAATGTGTACTTGAGTATTCCAGTTATAGCATCGCATGTCAGTTTGATGAGTGTGGAAAACTTGATCCGATGTCAAATGTCACTTTGGTGAAACCCACGAGCACAAGAATGGTGCCGACATACCATGAAACATAATGAGGACGACTCTGGGATTTGAGGGATGCAGACATGCAGATTTAGAAGACTGCGTCACTGGTGCCCCTTAAATGGGTACTGATAAAGGAAAGGATAAATGTCTTTATAAAGATGGCGCAAATAGGTGCTCTAATATTCATATTTTCTGTTCATGTGAAGCACTTTCTAAGTACATCCTAACATAACCTATATTTCTCTTTAAACAAACAACCTTAAATGAATCATGTCGACATAATGCATGTGTATATTTCTTTTTTAGTAACAAATAACTGCAACTCATGTGATGATGACGGGGAGGCAACTCTGGCTACATCTTGGTGTTCTGACTGTGAAGTCTCGCTGTGTGGTGGATGTCTTAAGGCCCATGCTCGTAATCCTGCCTTCCGTCACCATGACGTATCTGACTTGTCAAGGGATGTCAAGGTGAAGAAAAGACGGAAACCCATGTGTAAAGAACATCCAGATCAGAGGATGCAGGTCTACTGCAAGGACTGTAAAAAAATACAATGTCAATCTTGTTGCATCTTGTATCACAGAAAGTGTGAGTCCATTGTCTCGCTTGAATCTGTGTTGCCTGAAATGCAAAACACTCTTCAATCTGTAAAGCAGAAACTAGAGACTGATTTAGCAACATCAAACACTCGTCTTGCAAAGAAGGAAGCACAATGTACTGAAATTAACGAGAACAAGTCAAGCCTTCAGTCTCAGGTCCGATCAGCAACCCACATCGCCATTGACTTGATAAAGAAGAAGGAAAGACAACTCCTGGAACAAATAGATGACGTCACAGAGAAACAAAGAGGACAGCTGAAAGGAGACATTAAGCGTGAGGAGATGGCCAGGCTGATGATTCGTCAACACTCGGAGTTGCTGGGCAGAGCTCTGGAGTCTGAGAGTGACGTGGACATCTGTGAGATGTATCTGTGGAGTGAGTCGGAGGAGGCAGCCACTGTGTGTGACCCAGAGTCAGGTATGAAGGATGTATCTGGGGGCAAGGCTTGTTTCATACACGATCGTCATCTGATGTGTGAGGAACTAAACGATCTACACTTGGGTGTGATTGATATCATGTTTGAAGATGTTTTTGATTCTACAACTACAGCAGTTCTGTATGACACAGTGGACATACGGGTAGAAGATGATGAGAAGAAACCCTATGCTTTTGACGTGGCAGTATTTGTTGTTGACAACACAGACACCATAGTTGTCACAGATTATGGCAACAAGTGTGTGAAATCCTTCTACAAAAGAAACAAGAAGTCATGTCAGAGTAAGCTGGGTGTACAAAGCGCCCCTTTATGTATTGCAAAATTAAACAACAATAAAATGGCTGTGACTATCCTTAACAGTAAAGAGATAATAATAGTAGAAGTGAAGCCTGAACTGGTTCTTCAATCATCCATCTCTACAAGGAAGGTGTATGTGGGTCTGACATCCCTGACACCGACAACCCTGGCAGCAGGATCCGTGTCTCCTCCCTGTGTGGACATCCTGGACATGGCGGGGAATGTGTTGAGGACCCTGGATCCTGTCACAGATGGAGAGATACTTGTATCAGATCCTTACTTCCTCAGTACCACCAGGCAGGGTAACATCCTCGTGTCTTGCTGTGAAGAGGACGCTGGCAGAGTCCTCTGTTTAACTCCTCATGGAGATGTTGTGTTCAGGTATCAGCCTATCCAGCAGTGGCCTTGCCTTCGTGGAATCACTGAAACCAACACAGGACATATCCTGGTTATAGAATGCAATGTAAATTGTGTGTTTCAACTCAGCGCTTCTGGGACGTTTGTCACGTGATGGTATTACATATCCGAATGGTCTCTACCTGTGTGAAAGTCAGCACCTGTATGTCATCGATGATGACTGTGTGAAGATCTACAGATTTACAAGAAACACCTAAGATGTGGATGCATAACGATTGTTCCTGATAGAATCCGTCACCATCTGAGTGACAATAGGTTATGTAAATAAGAGAACAATCAGTCTAGAGTGTCCACCGAAACAGTTAAAATTTGACGTAAAGTGCTAAATAGTTATGAAATTTATATGAATGGACCACTGATATTGAGTTATGACTCCAGGTGTTCGCGAAAAGGGTAAGCATGTCCGGCCCTATCGGTAGCACTCGCCAATCACACAATTTTTATGACAAAGGAGGTATTTGTCCCAAACGCGGCAATGCTGTACTCGTATCGTGAGACGGCGGCCTGTAAACAAACCAGACAATCAAGTGATCGATGAACCAGAAAATCCAGTGACACGTTAGTGCATTAACTGATTTTGTTGAAACTAATAAAACCGATACGTTAATTTTAACCTTCGAATTAAGTGCACCTATTCTGCTTCTTAAAAGAATGAAGAACGTTTAAGAACTATTATGTGGGGCAGTAGTTGGGGGGTGCGCAGTTTTATTGTGCCCACACCAGGTGTTCGCGATGTTTGTGTCTGACATTGATGTGGAGCTGAGAGACATCAGTGTGGTATATGTGAACAATGAACACACAGAACTGGAATTGTCACCCGTCACACAAATATTCCGTTATTGAATGTGCATGTATAACGTGTATATTTAAGTTAGCGGGGAGGGCGGATTTTGGGAACGAGCAAAGGTTACCAACAACACGTGCCAGTTGTTGGAGGCGACCTAATGGATCACGTGGCCTGGTTGATTGCATGTCATCGTATCCCAAATACATAGATCGATGCTCATGATGTCAATCACTGGACTATCTGACCAGACTCGATTAATTACAGACCACCCTCATATAGCTGGAATATTGCCGAGTGCTGCGACGAAAAAAAACCCAATTGGCGACTGCTGGAAAGTTAAGCCTTATTGCCTCGTGAAGTATATAATTATATATTTGTAAATACAATAAAACTCTGATAATTAAAACCATTAACCACTTCCTGTCAGTTTAAGTGTATTGGTAAACATTTACTTGCATATCCAGGTGTTTACATTTCTGTCATAATAAAAGTGCTGTCCCTACCTTTGTACAATTTTTTTCTTGTTTAAATGAATACATAACACACACCACACCACTATGGAACCCGTTCTACGACGGGAATTTATGTTAAAAGATGTGAAAAGAGATCGTTTCCGCGGTTGATTCTTTTCGTGGAACACGACGCATGTCTTTGTAACAAACATCAGTTAACGCTGTGTGATGTAAAGGGAGAAATGGCGGTTAAAATCTCATGTTCCCCCCGTTACTTACAAATACATATTGTTTCCATATATATTGATGCTGTTTTGTTCATTCATCCAAGGACAAGTTTAGAAAATCTGAGCGAATGTGTCTGTTCGTCGACACCAACCACAACACTGCCGACATAATCCCACGAAACAGTCGTGAAGCCATGGTTATCTATCAAAACTATGGAAAATACATCCGTTTCATCGACAGTATTAGTACCTCGCCGAGGCTCTGAACTCACTTTATACCACTTGGCACAGATAACACGTACTTCTTCGTTGCCCAAAGGTTATTTCTCTAAATTATCAGTTTGTTTCAATCGGTAAAACGGTATATGATTGGCTACGGGTGTGTCATGAATTGCCAACAGAATCCTACATAGCATATATGTCTCTGTTCTCGAAATAATATTCTGCCTAGATCATAAAAATATAAATGGCAAATGTTTCCATATCTTATTTTTAACCGTTTATTTGGTGCAGAATAGACTTGTGATTAAGATTGCTAAGCCTATAGATGCAAGTGCGACATCCGCGTAGAAGCAGGCTGTAGTTTCTCTAATGGCAGATATGTTTCAATAAAAAAAGTCACCAATTATATATGACAATGTCCATTCATTTCACATTTGATTTACCAGGGGTATTTGTGTTTATTGGTATATCTCAGATTCTGTTTTGTCTCTCAATGCGAGGTGTTATGGTTCAGTTTTCACCCGTGTTTCGTTGCCGGGAACAACTGTTTGAATGTTTGGCAGAGTAAGAGATGGGCTTTATACATTGTATCCATGCAGGCACTAGGACCCATGCCTCTGGCGTGACAAGCCAAGCTTTAACTACTAGTCTACCCCTCCCTCTACCCTACGACCACCCTTAACCGCGCCTTCTGGAAGATCTGTGTTTGAATCTTCAGAAACCCATGCTTGTATGAGTTGACAAACGGGATCGGGTGGTCAGGGTCGCTGACTTGGTTGATGCATGTCACCGTATTCCAATCGATCGATGGTCATGTTAATCACTGGAACTTCAGACCGCCGTCTTGTAGCTTGAAGAGTGTTGGGGCGGCGTTAATGAACCTACCGTCCAACCAACCAACAAACAGTAAACAGTAGCAAGAGGTGACTAATATATTAAGGTGTTATGAAGAAATGAAGCTTTTCTCATTTTGACGTGACAGTTTGACTCCGTTGGATACAGGTTCGTGAGGTATTAGTGATTTGTTTGTTTGTTTGTTGTTTATCGCCGCACTCACCCACTTGACCTGCAGACCGTCGTCTTGTAGCTGGAAGAGTGTTGAGTGCGACGTTAATCAACCTACCGTCCAACCTGTCAGCCTCGTTTTATCCCCTTATAAAAGAAATGGAAGTAATCGAATCACGTCAAAACAACCGAGCGATAAATGGCAAAATTAAACAACACTGTAAATACAATAGTTTTTATGCACATGTCAATACAAAAGGGGACACAGGTGAACAATATGATTTAATTTTTCTTTAGAAAAAATTATTGGTTCGTAAACATATTGTTTCATAACAATGCGCCTGCGTCCCCTGTGCATCTATCATTACCTCATCATCAGGATCGAACACAGTCAGTCATCGGACAACGGAAGTAGGAGTAAACACACCTACATTGACTTCACACTGGTTGTGTTTCTCAATCTCGTTATATAACTGAAACACTATTCAAAGGGAGATCTATACAAAATCATTCAGTCGTTCATTCACCGAGACCACCCTTCATGTACATCTTGGTTTGGTGCGTGTTATGAACCTGTAGACCATCACACAGTGGCGGTTGGTGACGTACAGACGCCTCCGTTTATCAAAGTACAGACCATAAGGGAAAGTGATGCCATCGCTTGACGTCAGTACGTCTCTCAACCAAGTGCCTGAACTACTCAAATGAACCACTTTGTTTGACATGTTGTCAACAACAAGCATGTCGCCTGTGTTTGTTCCAGTGATGCCACATGGATTCATTGCTCGATGTTGTCCTGTGGGTACATAATTAAACACAACATCTCCGTTTGGTGTCATACATAGCACATGACTTCTTGGGGCATGACTGCAAGACACCAGGATGTAACCTTGACTGGTGGTAGATAGGAATAAAGGATCCGATACAAGGGTTCCCCCATCTGTGACACGATTCAGCGTCCTCAACACATTCCCCGCCATGTCCAGGATGTCAACACAGGGAGGCGACCCGGATCCTGCTGCCAAGGTAGTCGGTGTCAGGGCCGTCAGACCAAAGTATTTCTTCCTTGTTGAAATGTATGATTGAAGAACAAGGTCAAGTTTTACTTCAATTAGTATTATCTCCCTTGTCTCGGGAAGGGTCACAGCCATGTGATGGGCATTAAGTTTTGCAATCCGCCGAAGGGGGCTCTGAACAGAAAGCTCTGACAGGGTTTAGTATTGCGTGTGTAGAAGGATTTGACGCACTTGTTGTTATTATCAGTTACAACTATGGTGTCTGTACCTCCTTCATTGAACACTGCCACGTCATAAACATGAGGTAAACTTGTCTCATCTTCTGTTTGTATGTCCACTGTGTCGTGCAGAACTGATGTCGATGTAGAATCAAACACATCTTCATATATGGTATCAATTTCACCCAAGCTTACCTCGTGTATATTGTTACAGATCTCTTCACAATCATGCATAAAACATACTTTCTCTCTCAGTTCATATGTTATATCTGAATCTGGGTCGTGTACTGTTGGAAACTCCTCTGACTCACACCACAGGTACATCTCATAGATGTCCATTTCACTTCCAGACTCCAGAGCTCTGTCTATCATCACAGAGTGATGACTTATCATCTGCTTGACCATCTCTTCAGACTTCATTTCAGTTTTCAGTCGCTCGATATGTTTCTCAGTGGCGTCATCCAGTTGGTCCAGGAGTGGTCGTTCCTTTTTCTTTACGGCTTCTGTGACTCTCTGGATTGTAGATCGGATCTGACACTGAACGGTGACTCTGTTCTTTATTACCTCAGTCCGTTTGGTTTCTAAATCTGTTAGCAAACTGTCTGTTGCTTGTAAATGAGACGCTAGTCTTTCCTTAACTCCCGTAACACAGCTGATCAGTTCTGGCATAACAGATTCAAACGGTAGAATTGCCTCACACTTTCTGTGATACAAGATGCAACAGGATTGACATTGCAGTTTCTTACAATCTTTGCAGTAGAACTGCATGCTTTGATCTGGATGTTGCTTACAGAATGGTTTGCGTCTTTGGTTGATTTTGACCTCTGTGGACAGGTCAGATACGTCATGATGACGAGTGGCAGGAATACGTCTGTGAGCCTTCTGGCATCCCTCACAAAGACTGATGTCACAGTCAGCACACCAAGCAGTGGCTGGAGGTGCCGCTCCTTCATCACTACATAGGATGCACTTCGGGGTATCTGCAAGTATACATACAAATGTGTCAGTTATTTTTCAACAATAGAACTTTAATATTACGAAATAACCTTTAACCTTTCAATGTACATACGAGGAATTCACAAACCAGGGATATGAACAACGTAGCTATGTTAGGATGAGTTCAACACTGGTAGCCTATTCGGAAATACCTTTTGTCTTGGGATTAAATGAATCCAAGAGACCCTGAATCAAAAAGGTTGGTTTCACCTCCTGTGCCCACTCTTCAACTGGCCTGTTTGAGTTGGCTACTTTGGTCATCGTTCTACAGAATGGACAGAGGAGAGACTTGGCACTGATGGCTTCTGGTCTGGTTTCAGTGTAGCTAACGACACATTTCCGACAAAATGTGTGATAACACACAAGTGTACAGGGGTCATCAAAGACGTCCATGCAGATGCTGCACGTCAAGAAGTTGTCTGTCAATTGTCGGTGCACTGCCATCTAAAATGTTAAAATAAAAATATTGGCATTCTCAACTTAACATCATACACCTTTTCATCCATAAGAACCCATTTTTGTTTTTGATTGATATACGGGCAGTTTTATCAATAATGAACTGACAGAGAGTAGATATGATACAACGATCTTTAAAGACATGAAGTAGTTTGTTATGTGCTCATGTTCCTCCGACACATGTTCATGTTCCAATGCGTAATTATGACTACAATGTTGAACAACATATAAAGGCGGTCAGTAAGTGAGAGCTCAGTTCATGAGTTACAGTTTTGTGGATGAAAATATTAATGCTTGAAAATAGCTCAGTGTCATTTCACAGTTCCCAAATAATCACTCCACAATACAAAGACAAAGTTATGTTTTGGAACGCGTTTTTGCGTTATTGCGCGAATCCCTTAAGGTCTACGCGTGTGTCTGTGTGTTTATTGGATGCACGTGTAAAATGTGTGTGTGTGTTAGTGTGTGAGAGAGAGAGAGAGAGAGAGAGAGAGAGAGAGAGAGAGTGTGTGTGTGTGTGTGTGTGTGTGTGTGTGTGTGTAAGATAGAGAGAGAGAGACTGGATGTGAATGTGTTTCTGTATGTGTGTTTATGTATGTGGCTGCTTGTACTTAATTAATGCCGGTTTCATAGTGCCAGCCCATAATGCATTGAGACACCATGCCGCATTTTAACATGAACAGTAAGTGAGTGAGTTGGGTCTAACGCCGCTTTTAACAATATTCCAGTTATATCAGGCGTGTCAGCTAATGTGGGAGGAACGCCCGAAGTGATGCAGGTCTCATACGTTTACCACTTCGGTGAAACCCACGAGCATGGGTCTGGTGCTGACAATCCTAGAAACATAATCTGGGCGAAACGGGATTCGAACCCATAATCATAGGTTTCGGACGTGCCCAAGGGACGCAACTGTGCACAGCGAATCACGGCGCCTTAGACGACTGGGCCACCCGTGCCCCTTTAACATGAATACCACACTCCGACACAATATACTGACTCCAAGCCGACCAGTTCTTGTCTTAGCTCCTTAATGCCGAGGATCAGACTTGTTTATGGCCGGGGATCGGACCACTGACCTTCTGCTGTCTGGCCAGGCACTATATCAACTAGACCATGGAGACACAGTTGCTATGAAAACATAAACATGACCAATGATTATTGAGATAATGTCATGAGAATAATATTTGTACATAGATAGTGTCAATGAAAGGCACCTGGCATGGTTTGCAAGACAGTCAGATGTTTGCAATTGTAGTATTAATTGATACATGTTAAGAAGAGCTGTAAACATGAACCTGATGATCCAGTTTCAGTCCTGTGTCACTAATAGTAATGTCAGAAAATGCTGTCCAATAGGAAGACAATGTACGATACAACAAACATAAATTATACCTCGACACAGAAACAAAGAAAATACCACTTCACTATGATGTAGCACCAGACAACATACTAGCTCAGAAATCAAGAAAATACCTTTAGTTTCGTCAGATGTCTCTTCCAACCATTCTGCTGGACTGACTGTCTGTCTCGGTATTGTAAGAGGCGGGGCTGTACACTGACACAGGCTGCTCATAAACGCTCTCACACAACTAAGTGTATTGTGTACATAACCACTTGCTGATCTAGTTGGTCACCATATGTTGCAATATCGATAGTAAATGCAGTATAACATTTGTATCGTGCATGTTTTTTGTATGACTGCACACATATTGCATCTGAGGCGATGTTTGGTGGGCGGAAGTGTTGTAATATGTCGGGAATTCAATCAAACTGAGTATTTACAAGTTCAACTTTTGAGTTCATGCAAAAGATTCCATTTTGCGAAAGGGTTTAAATGCTTTACCAAATATCCTGAAACAAAGGAATGCTAGTGGATGTTGAAGCGCATGTTGTAATTTTGGCCACTATCGTGTGAAGGTATGTATATTTCAATATTACAATTACTATAAGTTACAAACAGGGCCCATTCTCAGACATTAAGCTGATAAGCCGTTATATTGCTGAATTATTGTTCAAAGAGCAGTCAATAAAACTTAATGACGACATTATGATGTAGATGCTTGTCTATCGGTTCAAATATTGATTTGTATTGTTCACGTCAGGTATCATGAGAAATATTTTGTATGACATAATGCATTCTGGTGACCGAAAACATGAGTGTCGCTCATATCTCCACATGCAGTTTCATAAAAAAAACTCCTGCCATCAATAGTAAGCTCAAAGAGGGTACAATTATTGAAAGACATAGACGTGTTAACAATTTACAAAAATGAACCGTTGTAAACCAAGGTGACCACAAGCTGCCTTTACTTACTAGTACAACCCGTGTGGACGTGTATCACTTTCTGCATAGAGCATTGTTTGGACGATGTGTTTGCATTGATTTAGTTTGAACTTGTGTTTTTAATTTATTGCAATTTCATTTATAAATTTGTAAAGTTTGTTTTGGCCGCAGGTTTATATCACTGTTTAATGTAGAATAAATAACGTGTGGGGTGTAGTGTATACTGTATAGCGTGTATATAATGTGCTGGTGAGTTTTACCAAGTACAATGTCTACAAGTATTTCGTAATCTTAGTGTTTCAATGTCATCCTGGTTCACTGCCAGGGGCAACAGTACGTCACACGCTGCCGGCGACCTGTGTCGACAAGTGGAGCAACTGTGACTCCTTCCCTCACTCGTGTGCGCCAGTGTACAAAGACTGGGCGTCCGCCAACTGTGCCCGCTTCTGCAACTTGTGTTGAGCGTCTTGGAATCTGTACCGAGAAGATGAGGGACGCATGGAGTCTGCACTGCGAGATTTTGTTGCTGTAAACACATATTAAATGACAATGTCAGATGACATCAACATACGTCGAATATATTGCCTCCAAACAAGGCTATTATTAGAAAGTTGGCCTTTCTCTTTACTAATCTAGCTGGTAAACCAGGGATACTGTCTCCGTTAGAGCCAACGGAGGCCTTTATAGGTTTAGGGTAATTGGTTTCAACAGATTTACATTGACCGCAGACACAGAGAAGATGAATTTGAAAGAATGTTTTCTCAATTAGATTTGTAACAGCTGATCTCCTTCGGTATCAAGATTGATGAACGTACGTTACACGCAGGACCAACATGGCTACAGAAGGGGAGGATGTTTTGGGATGGGCCTGGGTTGAGGCGTATTGGGAGTAGTGTGTGTGTGTGGGGGGGGGTGTAGGTGGGAGAGGGGGGAACGGAAGCACTATGCTGCAGTTTGTAATGGATACCCGCATGCAGTGTAATGAAACCGAACCAGTCACTCCTTATTCCCTAAACACCGAGCGCCAGGCAGGGAAACAACAAGTGTTATCTTTTAACGTGTTGTGGTATGAAGCTGCCAAAGGATCGAAGGCTCAAAATTTAGCTGTGCAGAGTTGCTGTGCGGAATTCCAGCTTTGCCTTGATTATGATGCTTTTGCTGCGCACACCTTCCCGTGCCTGTAGTTTCCCCACCTGTTTAACTGAAACGCCTTTCAAAGTTTACCAAAACTCACTCGCTGAAAGACTTTGACACCGCTTAATTAACAGTATTTCAGTAACATCACGTCGACAGAGTGTTTGTGGTCGGACTCGATGTAGTTAATAGACGTTTGCAACTGTGGTGAAACCCACGTGCACAGGTATGGTGCTGACAACCCTAGAAACAATCGAATCTGTGATCTGAACTAACGACATCAGGCATGGTCTAAGGGAAGCAACTCTGCACAGTCTATTACGCGCCTTACACAACTGAGCTCCCAGTGGGGTACTGAGCCAAACTGAATGGAATCAAATATTGTTTACATTAATTTTGACTGTAGATTTTGAAAATGTAGAATGATCCTTCGGAATCGAATAAGTCAATTCTTTCAAATAGTTCAATAAATTACAGATACACTGATAAAAAATAAATAGACGACAAAAACAAACATCAGGAAAATGAAGCACTGTTGTAGAGTATACACTGGACGCGTCCCTACATGTCAGTCGCGATCCGTGTTTCACCTGCAGTGACTAGACTGGTTACCAGTATCAGAAAATGCATACCAGTTTAGCGAACCGCCCTTCGACACGCCTGGACACAATCGACATGGCTTCAGACAGACTGGAAGAATGAGAGGTTAAAACTACTGACAATTAAAGGTAATGTGAGCATTGGCAACATGGAAGTTTGTTTGACGTCCTGTATATACTTGATGAGTGTGACGTCCCGTATATACTTGATGAGTGTGACGTCCCGTATATACTTGATGAGTGTGACGTCCCGTATATACTTGATGAGTGTGACGTCCTGTATATACTTGATGAGTGTGACGTCCCGTATATACTTGATGATTGTGACGTCCCGTATATACTTGATGAGTGTGACGTCCCGTATATACTTGATGAGTGTGACGTCCCGTATATACTTGATGAGTGTGACGTCCAGTATATACTTGATGAGTGTGACGTCCCGTATATACTTGATGAGTGTGACGTCCCGTATATACTTGATGAGTGTGACGTCCCGTATATACTTGATCAGTGTGACGTCCCGTATATACTTGATAAGTGTGACATGCCACAGGTATATGGAAGGTGTGAAAATAGCTTCATACTTCCTGGTTGTACATGGTCGTATGGTCCCTGCGTGTGCTGTATTATAAGATTGAGTTATAGTTTATTTTGAACGTTGCAACAGCAAAATGTCAGCAATATAGATCCAGATCCATTATCAAAACTTGTTTTTATTAAAGTAACAGATGTCAGTGTTATTTATGCTGCAAGAGTCAATCTGTTCCCTAGAATAGAAGGGCGGATCA